GTTTCATTAACACTTAATAACAAAATATATTTTTATTAACATAGATATACATAAAATCTCTTTAAAAGAATCAGATAAACATAAAAAAATTTACTTTACAAACATGAGTGACAAAAGTTAAGATTCCTAAAATTATTGGATCACTTGTAAGTTTTCAATTACTCACTCAAAACTCAAGCTTAGGTGTTACAACTTACAAATATAAATAATATTCACAAGCATTGAGTACAAGATTTAGTTATTTGTAGCAAAAATATATAGGACTTACATTATACAAAAATTAAGGATATAACAAGTAATTTCTAATTCTCACCACAAATTATAATGTACAAAAGTATTGTCTCAACAGGAATTGTTCACTAATAATATAAGATAATAGAGAGTTACCACTATAAGACACTTACAATTCTTTATACAAGTCTCGACAATAAAGTGATTACAAATAATACATAAATTAATATATGTGTTTATGCATGTATAATTAATTTGGCATTGATATTGAAGTAAAGATCTTGTATAAACACAATTTCATTAATAAAATATTACTTTTAGTATTCAATATGCAAGATTCTCCCACTTGATAAAGAAATGTAGTTGAGTTAATAATTAAAAAAATATAGTTAAAAGAAAAACATCAATTATATTTTTCTTTTATCACATATGATCATATCAAATAATGTCATGCTGAATGTAATAAGAATGTGTTCTAATTAAAAATAAATTATTAAATAGATTTGCATTATAATAGACAAATGCAAAATTTTAGAATAATACTAAATTGTCATAAAATAAAATAATGTCCAATATTAAAAAACAATGAAGCTGACATAAAACAACAAAAGAAAATTTTTAATGTAAATATATTATCATATAATTAAAGAGTTAAACTAATACATATAAAAATATTTATCTAGAGATAATTTCTTGTTTGTATCTCGTTCATGAATCTCGAAACACAAATAAATATAAAATTAATATTATAGTGCACAATAAAAATTTATATCATCAAAATTTCAGTGTATAAAGGTAATCAAATAAATATTTAATAAAAATATAAAACAAATAGTACATTTTCTAATTACAAATTATATAAATAATAATACATTGATAAGATATAATTATTATATATATATATATAAAGATAAATTATAATTATTTAATTTCAAAATTTTACATAGTTATACCCATAAATGAGTGTATAATTACATAAATTGTCAAATAATTATGATTGACAACAATTTATACTTTGGCATAAAAAAATGCATCTATTTCAAAATAGAGTTTTAGAACTAATAAGATGTAAAATCCTCTATGTACAAATTAAAATTAGAATAAAATTATGAACTACATTATTATAATGAACAACCAATAAATTCGTTGTAAAATTTAACAATTTTATAATATTATGGGAAACATTACACCCATATATAACTGCATATTTAAAAACTTAAAAGGACAAACATCATTCATTTTCAAATTTATCCATATATACACAATTATATAATAAGCTAAAAGATATTAAAGATTTTACCACTAATTAACCTCATCAAATGTTACCAATTCTATTGTGTATAGATCAATGAGTTTTAATGACTCAATAAAATGTATAATATCATCATAAAGAAAAAGCTCCAAATATAAATCATTAATTATATATGATTCATATAAAAAAAATTATATAATTTATTTATAATAAATTATAACCACACATTTGTTGCTCAAATAATAATAATAATAATAATAATAATAATAATAATTACTAAATGGCAAAAAAATTATTATTCTGCAATAGCCTTTCATATATTTTGTAGCAACTCTAATAGTCCATTAAACTTGAATTCAATGATTACGAAAAATAAAACCGCCAATTACTTATATTGCGACAATAACGATCCTTTATTATATAATATATATCACCATTATATAACATACACGTGTAACTCTTTTTTCTTTAACTCTTGATTTTCTTGATCGGATTGACGGAGATAATTCACTTATCAACAGTTTTGATACATAATCCAAAAACAAAATCAAGAAAATACTTAAATAAATCCCTAATAAATAACTAAACAATACAATGTAGTATAACTTACATAACAAAAACCGACAATTTATCAATAATTGATAAACATAAACTAAAAACTAGAAACACATTGTATTAACAAATCACATTAATAAAAATATATTGATAGGATATATTATTATTAATGTAATAAAATTAACAATAATATTTGATTATCTATACAACAAAAATTCACATAAATGTATTTACAATAGGTGAGATTGCAGTGATATAAATTATATATATTATGCCTAATAAAAATAATATAATATATTATAAATAATTTTAATTATTTTTTTTCAAATAACATATGATCCAATATTTAAGAAGCTCTAATCATGAAACTATATATATTAACACTGCAATTGGCTTAATGCAAGACACATAAAATGCAACAGTCAAGACATTAGTTCTAAAAGTAAAATAATACATTTTCATAAACAACTCCAAAATCATTTTCCACAAAATTATTTCAAATTTGTGAATGAAAGAAAATATCCTTGTTTTAGAATCTTTCAATCTACAAAAGCCCCTCAACCAAATTTCTGAAAGCCATCCTTTACAAAACAAAATGAATCTTAAAAAATAGCAGCTATAAAATATATGTAAGTTGACTTTGATATCAATTAATAAAAAATACTGAACCTTATCATATCTAATAGTTATAAATATAAATTATAACATGTTTATATAATAATATATGTAATTAGAAATATTATATTACTGACCTGGGTCTTTTAAAATTATTTTAGAGAAAAGATAAATCATCTTGAGTTGAGAGTTTTCTCCTAATTTTCAAAGGATTGTTTAATACTAATTCAATTACAATCAAAATAATTTAACATGCTCATGGTTGAGAAGTATATATAGTTTGATTGGAAATAAAAAAGATAAAGTGGCAATGAATTTGGAAGTTGAAGATGCAACTTACATTTAACATTCTCATTTTTTGTAACAAGAGTGTTTCATTGTGAATATAGATAGATACAAAATGTGAATCAATGTGAGTTAAATGCATATTGAAAACATTGACACATGTAGAAAATGTTAATGGCGTAAACCAAGTTTTTTTAAAATTATAATGATTAAAAGAAAATTTATCTTAAACTAAAAACATATATATTTAAACCTTCAATTAATAACCATGCAGTTCATATGATAACAAATTATTTAATAAAAAATATTAAGTTTTAGTTTGAAAAAAAAAAAAAAAGTTGAAAAACTTCTTCACATTATATATATGAAGATAAGATTGCACTAAAAATTACTTTCAAGATAGTAATTTTTGTCACAATATAATTTTTATTCTCCTGTCTTTCTTAATTACATGCATAACATTAATAATAATATCAAAATAATATGGTAATAAATATAACAATTTCATTTCTATAAATACAAGATCTTAAAAATGAATACTGACCAATCATTATAATGAATTCAACTATCGCATAGTTCTCAAAATTCAATTTAACTTTATAATTCATTTTTTATTTTACATCTTTTTAAATTTTTAAAACATGAAATAAGCATACAAATATGAATCTCCAAAACTATTAAAGGTACAAAGTTACAAACTATTGAATTAGTCCATGTAATTTTAAAAATTTTGTTTTACTCATAATAATTAAATTTTATTAAAAAATTTGTCAAATATTATCACATAAAATATATTTATTGATATTTTTATTAATAAAAATATCATATTAAACTTATTTGATAGTGTATAATTGTCTCGATCTATAATTTTTAAGTATATTATTATTAACATAGGAAATTAAAATAAGATTTTTTAAAATTGAAACTAAAAATAATAAATATAAATTTAAGAATAAAAAAAAATTAACCTAAATTTAATGGACTAAAAATATATTTAAGTAAAAAATTAATTAAAATAAAAATTATTAAAAACCCAAAACTTTGTGCAATAAAATTTCCTATTATTAAACTAACACAAAAAATGTTGATAAACTCAAGACAATAATATAATTTTCTCAACATTCATCATTTTATTTAAGATATAAAAATATTATATAAATTTCTAATAATAAATTCAAAAAATCACCTTTCAAATTCTTTAGATTTACTTAATTTTTATATTTTTACTTTATACCCGTGTCATTGTGGTACTAATTTTTACAATTTCCATATCTATTCTTTATTATGAGAAATTATCTACCTTTCAAATGCACTATGTATTCGCATATTCTAAAAATTAGTAATCAAAAAGTAAAAATTATTTTGAAGTTTTTGCTAACAACTTTATATAATACATTTTTTAAATTAAATGTAATATATAAAATTAAAGTCTACCATAACTAAAAACTCAAAATATATATATATATATATATACATATATATATATATATATTCTAAATTTAGATATAATGCAATATATGTTCATACATGTACTAACATTACGCAATATATATTTATACTTAATTAATAGATAATTGGCCACAATGTATAATTTTAAACAACCATTAATTATAACTAATTTATAATAAAATACTATTAAAAATGTGTTTTAAACCTTATTTTGAGCAAAAGAAAAATTGACTAAATTGTCTCCCATATGAAAACTACTCTTTTTAGGAAAAAATATTCAAACATTAACTATTTTATATAATATGATAATATCATAACTTATAATTTCTTTTAAAATAATACTCAAACTTTGATCATGAAACTTTATAATTATCTACCATTGATATTACATCCCATATTTATATTATTATAACTTGTACAATATTTAATTTTAATTTATTTATACAAATTATAATACCATTATCAGATATACGCAAAGACTTTCACCTCCAACAATTGTTGAATCAAATTTATTATTTTCCCACCCTTTCACTTATTCTAACATTTCAACCACAATATACATTAGCATTTCTCCTTTCACTTATATAAATACTAGTATGGTTATACCACCAATTTAAGTACCTCCACCAGATCCATTTACTCCGACACTTTTACCTATTTTGTTTCCTCCATTTACACCAACACCTCTTCTTGCACTTGCACCAATACTAGCACCTTTATTTCCACTAATTCTAGTACCTCCTATTACACTAACACTTCCTCTACCACCACTACCACCAACACCTCCTCCTGCACCTGCACCTCCACCGCCACCAACACCAATACCTCCACCTACACCAGCACCTCCCCCACCACCACCACTTATGCTACCTCCACCACCTACACCTCCTCCTGCACCTCCACCAACACCAGCACCTGCACCAGCACTAGCACCTCCTCCTCCACCAACTCCAGCACCTCCACCACCACCTGCACCTCCACCAACTCTAGCACCTCCTCCTACACCTGCACCAACACCAACACTTCCTCCTCCACCAACTCTAGCAGCTCCTCCACCACCTGCACCAACACCACCACCACCACCACCTATGCTACCTCCACCACCTCCACCAATTCCTGCACCAGCTCCTCCTCCTGCACCAATACCAACACCCCCTCCTCCACTACCACTTACACTTGCACCTCCTCCACCACCTGCACCAACTCTTGCACCTCCACCAATTCCAGCACCTCCTCCACCACCCGCACTAACACCAGCACCTCCTCCTGCACCAATACCAGCACCTCCTCCTCCACCAACTCCAGCACCTCCTGCACCACCCGCACTAACACCAGCACCTCCTCCTGCACCAACACCAGCACCTCCTCCTCCACTAACTCCAGCACCTCCTCCACCACCTGCACCAACTCCAGCACCTCCACCACCACCAGCACCTCCTCCTACACCTGCACCAACACCAATACTTCCTCCTCCACCAACTCCAGCACCTCCACCACCACCTGTAGTTCCACCAACTCCAGCACCTCCTCCACCACCTGCAGTTCCACCAACTCCAGCACCTCCTCCACCACCCACACTAACACCAGCACCTCCTCCTGCACCAATACCAGCACCTCCTCCTCCACCAACTCCAGCACCTCCACCTCCGCCTCCACCAACTCCAGTACCTCCTCCTGCACCAACTCCACCACCTCCACCACCACTTGCAGTTCCACCAACTCCAGCACCTCCTCCACCACCCGCACTAACACCAGCACCTCCTCCTGCACCAATACCAGCACCTCCTCCTCCACCAACTCCAGCACCTCCACCACCACCTACACCTCCACCAACTCCAGCACCTCCTCCACCACCTGCACCAATACTAGCACCTCCTCCACCACCTGCACCAATACTAGCACCTCCTCCTGCACCTGCACCAACACTCGCACTTCCTCCTCCACCACCACCTGCACCTCCACCAACTCTAGCACCTCCTCCACCACCTGCTCCAACACCAGTACCTCCTCCTCCACCAATTCCAGCACCTGCACCTCCTCCTACACCTGTTCCAACACCAACACTTCCTCCTCCACCAATTCCTGCACCAGTACTTCCTCCTGCACCAACACCAGCACCTCCTCCTCCACCAATTCCAGCACCTCCACCATTACCTGCACCTCCACCAACTCTAGCACCTCCTCCACCACCTGCACCAACACTAGCTCCTCCCCCACCTGCACCACCACTAGCTCCTCCCCCACCTGCACCACCACTAGCTCCTCCACCACCTGCACCAACACTAGCTCCTCCACCACCTCCAACACCTGCGTTTCCACCAACTCCAGCACCTCCTCCACCACCTGCACCAACACCAACACCTCCTCCTCCACCAATTCCAGCACCACCCCCACCACCTACACTACCTCCACCACCTCCACCAGCACCTCCGCCAATTCCAACACCTCCGCCAATTCCAGCACCACCTCCTACACCTGCACCTAGACCAGCACCTCCTCCTCCGCCAATTCCAGCACCTCCACCACCACCTATGCTACCTCCACCACCTCCACCTCCACCAATTCCAGTACCTCCTCCACCACTTGCACCTCCACCAACTCTAACACCTCCTCCTGCACCTCCTCCACCTCCACCACTAATGCTACCTCCCCCACCTCCACCTCCACCAAAACTTGCTCCTCCTCCACCTCCTATGCCCATATCGTTTCCATTTCTTCCACCTTGACCACCATTTTTATCACCATTAAAACTCCCCCCCACTTCTCCTCCGTTTCCTACGTTACCACAATTTTGAACTTTTCGCCCTTCTATTGTCCCAATGATTATTATCATCAGTAAAACGATAGGCATTTTAACATTATGCGAAGATCCGGCCATATTTGTTCGACGGTGAAAATATCAGAAAGATTATATATGTTGCAGAGAAAAGATAATATATAGTTTGGCTAAAGCTTGTAGTTCGATGGGTTAGTTTAACATGCTATTTATAGCATGAATTTGGAATAAGATCTTGATGATGTGGCTAGAAGCACTAAAGTTGCCCGAAATTTCTACTTGCTTTTATAGATAGTTGATGGCCACGCGTGCTACCTCTAAGTGAACTAAAATTCTCAACCAGATTTAGTGCCTCTGCCGCCATGCGTTTATCTATACCAAAAAATACGTGTCAATACGCCCTTAAGTATATGTATAGTTTGCCTGTCATTTTATCTCCAGATAAATTTTTTAAGTTATTCTATCGTGCCCTTAATTTGCACCGTTGATTCTCCATTATAAGCTCATCAAATTACCTAATGAAACGTTCCCCTAATGCTCTCGTTTCATTTCAAAATAAGTATTTGCTGAAGCTTAATTAATGGAACGTGTTTGAAGGATATACGAAGTAATTGTTAAAATACAAATTGTAATAAATAAGCGTCCGCCCTTGGGGAACCAAGGTGTGACACATCCACAATATCTGTCTTCACATGTTTACACACAAATTTAACAGCTACTGAAATTACTACCAAAAAATTAAAATGAGAGAAAAGGATTGAAGGAAATATGTGCTGCAACGCTGTATAACTTGTATACTGGCTCCAGTATAAGTATAAGCATAAAGCATAACAATAATAACCCTAGCTATTTCGAGAATAACTGAAGACAGATTTCATATTTTTGTTCTGAATTCCATTGTCATTTATTCGGATTATAAACAACATTATATAGCGAATGATCATATTATAGAAAATTAAAAGTATTTGTACAACTATATGATGCATATAAGATATATATATATATATA